TGTGTGTGTGTGTGTGTGTGTGTGTGTGTGTGTGTGTGTGTGTGTGTGTGTGTTTAACCCCCAGGTCATTGTAGGAATTAGAGTCTTTTGTAAACTTTCTAATTTCACAGCTTTCCTATTTTCTTTAAAGTTCACTTTGAGTGAAATGTTTTGGTAACCCACAATTTGTAGGAAATCCAGGTTGGCTAATGTGGTTTTCACACCAGCGCTTGCACAGGGAGGAACAGAAACATGTTAAGTCTTCACATCTCTCAATCAATGTCCACCTCTCGTCTTTCTAAACTTAAGACGTTGGTGACCTCAGTCTTAATGGTCCAGTATCCAAAGTGACAGAATACAGAAAAACCAAAACCAATCAACCAAACAAAGATCCTCACAGCCCTAGACTTCTCCCCAAGAAATGCTTGTTGGCCGCAAAGCTTTGGAGTATGTTCCAGAACGCAAAGCCAAAGATACACAGGGAAACTTCAGCCTTTTACGTAAAGGGAAGAAGAGGGAGGCAGTTAGGATTGGTGACTGCATACCTAACTGAAAGGCACCGACCAGGCAACCAGCCCGTGTCTTACATCTGCAGAGAACTGTCTTTAGTTTTAACGTATGTTCTTAGAAATGCAAAGTACAACAGGAACTCTTGTGACAGGAGAACTTTTTCCCTTCGCATGCAAACATGAAGATGCAACATAGATAATTATTATATTTACAATATCTGTCAAAATTTACTGCATTAAAAAAAAAAAACAAAGCCACATGTTCCTTGTTAAATGCACTGTGCTAGGTGTCAGTGGCCTGGTGACTAAGGACATGTTAGAGTTAGACAGAGCCGGTCTCAAACCCTGGCTATCCACTTTATAAGCTATGTGACCTCGGATGAATTCCTGACTAGTAACAGAAAGACATTATTATATACCTCATATTTTATTGTGACACAGCTTGGATAGTACTTAGCATAATGCCTGACATAGTAAGGGATAAAAAATAAGTGGTACCTTTTATTACTAGTGGTTGTGTTGGGGCACCAGAGACCAGAGGGTGATTCTGAATTTAATCCTGAATCCCACTTATGTTTTACCATTACAAAATCCAACATATACCTTTGCTGTCACTCAGTAGTGCTGACTGGTGAGCACTGGCTATTTATACTTTCTAATTCACTTCCTGTTGTCATAAATAATTGTATACAATTATTCACGTCACTTAAAAAATAAAATCTTCCGGGGAACTATGAAGATATTTAACCACCAGGTGTCCCTTCCCTACCTCATGTGCTGTTGGGTTCCAGCCTGACTTAACCCAAATGGGCAGATTATTCTCAAGAGACTTGCAACATGCAGGGAATAAAATTTATGATGTGTGCCAATCATTAATTTTTCTTATCTCCTTGGTATAACTTGTCTGAGAAATAAATCAACCTTCATTCTTTTTTAAGGAATTCCCTAGCTAATTACTAAAGGCTGATTCTAAAATTTACAATCAAAGACCTAACTAAAAGTAACTTTCATTCTTCCTAAAGATTAAGGCTCAAGGGAAAAAAGAGAAATGGATTCTTTTAAAATCTGGCCTGTCTATAAAGCATTTGCAGCAAATTCCATTGTGTTTTCTGCCAGGAGAATGAGCTGATGTCATTCTTGTTGCCTGTCTTTCTAAAGGTCATTCAGCAGGAACAATGAGCTGGTTCAGGTACTGACATCTGGAGTTCACTGTAATCCTTACCCAAAACTCCATTTAATTCACTGAATGAACAGGTTGCTTGGCGAATGTGAGAGACTCAATGAGAGGTGTGTTGAAAGGAGCTGGCCCCAGATTTTGTAAATACATCAAGAATATTGGAAACAAGTCATACATACTTTTTGGATTTCCAAATCTCCAGACTCCAAAGACTATTCTTAGTGCTTGTATGAATTTTCCGACAATTTACCAGGGCAGAGGTGATTGCTATGGCTTTCCTTGCTTGTAGGTGTTTAATCTTGAACACCAAGGGAACTGGGGACAAGCAGGAGGTGGTAAAGACCAGTTTTGAGGGTCTGTCCTTTGGAAGAGGTTAAAGGAAAAAGAGTTGAAGGTTAAGTAAAGCTTGCTGGCAGAGAAAAGTTCCAGAGGAAGCTCACCTCGAAATATTAGCGCATCACTTACAGCAGAAATGCACTAAGGAGATGTTGAGGTGCGGTTCGGAATGAAGAATGATACCATCTGTACAGGAGAACCGGGGGAGATGCTGCATATCATGAGTTCAGGGGATACATCTGAATGCAATGGCGTGACTAAGATACTTTCAAAATGGAAATTACAACGGAGCTAATGATTGGACACGGGTGGGGAGTCATGAGGAGCTAAATCTGGACCAGTATTTCAGTTAGTTTTGAGTCATGTAGCACACTGCTAGGGGTTGATGTGGAAGGAATTGTCCTCAAGGAAATGCCATCCTCTTTATTTGCTGCATACCAGTCATACACAGTAATCATTAAGCACTTGGTGAAAACATAGGTGCAATTCCAAGTGGAACACCCTCTAATTCCTTGATGGAGTAACCCACACTTACTGGTAGTGGGCTTGATGAGTGGACACGGTGATTGGCAGAGTTGGCCTCAGCCTTGCCTGTGCCACCCCCCAACCCCGTATTCTTTGTCAAGTCAGCCATCAGAAGCACCCTGGGCATTCTACTCAAGCCAGAGCAGCTGCAGTTTCTGTTCTTTGATGTTCTTGGAGGGTTGTGTTTTTGTTTTTGTTTTTTTTTTCTTTTCTCTAAAACACGCCAAAGTCTAAGAACCTGAAAGCCTTTTAAAGATTAAGCATTTTAAAATGATAAAGTAAAAAAAAAAAAAGACTTTTTCTTTACACAAGACTTTAACAAATCTTAGTTTTCTTTTTTCTTTTCTTGTTTTTTGTTTTGTTTTGTTCTGTTTTTTTTTTTCTTTAGTGAAAAGCCAGCCAGATGTAGACTCTTGGATTATGAGGTACACACTCTTGCATAGGAACAGAAAGTTTTCCCAAATTAAAACCCAAACCATAGTCAACTAATTGTGAATATATTGCTTTATCACTAGGTTAAAAATAAAACTCAGTGTCCTGCATAAGACCAAATAAGAACTTGAGAGCACTTGGAGCTTTCCTAGAAAAAGAAAGACAAGTATTATGAAGCGGTCTAGGCTTGAAATCTACACTTCTGAGGGTCAGAAGGCAAACACACTGCAGGCAGCTGGCCCCTTGACACCAGGGATGTTATTTTCAGGTGCAAAGGACAGAAACTGTATCAAATGTATGTGATATAATAACCAATCACTTAGCAAATGTTCAGCAACGCCTCCTCTGTGTCAGGAATGAAGGGTCAGATGATGGATTCACCCTCATCAACTCTCAGGATAAATATCTGTGCAATAATGGATGTAAATAAGCCCGGAAAGAAAAGTTCAAAGAATAAGGAGTCCTGAGCTGGTCTGGAAAAATAAATCACAGCTTTGTGGATAGGTATGTCATAAACTGTCACATGCAGTCAACACACATCCACCATCAGCCTCTGTGGTATGGACACTGACGTGCTGAACCTGAAAAGAGTGAATTGTCTTGGAGGTTATTTTTTAGTAGATATGGAGGAAGATTCTCAACCTAGGTCTAGGGTCATCTGTCTTAATATTTCTTGGAATTAGCAGCTTTATTGTTAGCTCTTCACCTTTTATTTTAGATTCTGGCCCTTAAATGGAGCCATCAGAAACTTGTGAAAATGTCTCTGATTGACAACATAGTTCCTGGGAGACAGAATGGTCATGGCTCAAGTTACCCTGGGCTCTGAAAAAACAAAACAAAACAAAAAAACCTGTACTATTTTATAACTGGACTATCATAAGTGATGTTTTCTAAGACAAAATAAAGCAATTAATTTTGTTGTTGTGGTGGTGCTCAACGTGGCTCTGTTTAAAGAAGGGAGATGTCACATAAGCTGAAAAAAGCCAGGGAACCTACAGTTGGAACAGGAGTTAAATGTCACATTATCAGCTCCAAACTTGAACCTGTTCCAAAGTATTAAGTTAATGTTGGGAAATGATGACATTTCAGACTAATTTTAATGCAACATTTAATTATCTTGATTTGACACCAGCCTTAGGGTTGAATGGTCCTCACTTGCAACAGTTGCCCCTTAAAGAAGATACATCTTATCCTGCATTAATCTCTTAAAGACAGTTGGTCTAGATAATGATGTGAACTTACCTGGTTCCTTGGAGATGAAGGTTCTATTAAATAAGATTATATTAACATACATTTAATGGTTGTGACATGCAATACTGCTATTCAGCAGAGAGAAAATGGGTGCGTTATAGCTGTGTGCTTGTACAACAAACCACAAGCATGGGTCAGAGAAAACCTCAGGGCACTGCCATGCCTGGAAGAGAGGCTATGAATTTGAAACCGTTCTCATTGAAAAGAAAACCCTTCGGAGTTTCAGTAACTCCCAGTGTGCCCATGCCAACAAGTGCTACAGGCCTTGAGCTGGGTGAGAAGGCTGACTGACTGAGTCAGGGACTGTACATTAAAAGTTCCCCAGATGACTGTCCAGGGATAATCTTGACAGCCTGCTGTCTCTCTTCTGTCTCCTCCTGTCTGCCCTGTCTTTTCTGAACAACCTTGCCTCTGAAAGAGTCCTCTTTTCTCTGATTTTCTTTGTTCATCTCATTCATTTTCCTGCCTCTCCCTGTATGTTTCTTCCCCCACCCCAGCTCCAAGTTTTGCTTCCCTTATTTATTTATTTTTTAATAACTGTTATATGTCCTTGTCATATAGGATTCATATCAAGGTCCAGACTTGCTCACAATTCACTGTCATCAATGCTTATGATATTTATGAATGCAAATATTTATGTACTTACCCTATTGTGCCTGTTTTCTACCCTTATTTATTCATTTATTCATTTTTACATATTTTTGAAGTAACTTTCCACATACAAAATACACATGTGACACGAAAACAGAAGGACTATTCCAGGGAAGGAAAGGACACAGGAAAACAGTGTGGGGAGCTCAGCATAAAGAAGTCACAGTGACAGATATGCTTGAAAATTCATAATGAAACCCATTTTGTATACCAACTTAAATTAAAGTCAAAGGAATGAAAGGCCTACCTGGTCAATTAATCAGACAAATATTCTACACATACATATAGGCGCATTAGGTCACTGACACATTTTACCACTTAAAAAAAAAGCAGAAAAGTGGGTCTTGGAGAGACAACTCAGAACTTAAGAACACTTTCTGTTCTTCCAGAAGAGCTGAGTTCAGTTGCCAGCACCCACAATGGGTTGCTAACAACTATAACTCCAACTCCAGAGATTCTGCCACTCTCTTTTGCCCCCCTCAGGCACACACATGGCATACACACACACACACACACACAGAGAGAGAGAGAGAGAGAGAGAGAGAGAGAGAGAGAGAGAGAGAGATTGAGATCATGGCACGGAAATGATACCAGGCATCTCTATTCTTGGTCTCCTGTCCGAAATCCTTCCTCTTCTATTACAGGCTTGCTGGTCTCTTTCCAATGCCGGAACAGGGAAAAGTCTCCTGTTGTCAAATTCAAGAATAAATACAGTTAAGTGAGCATTAAAAAAAAAAAATCACATGAAGTTGTGTCAGGAGCCAGTAAGGAATTCTCGTCGAAGCTGGTGGGATGACGAGACAGGTCCTGACTGAGTTTAAAGCTTGGCGAATTCACTGTTTGACCTGTGTCGAATTACTCAGTTCGATGGCTGAGAGAGTCATGGGAATAACAGTATTTAATAGCTACCGGTACTGTAAGAAGTCAGTGCAGCTGAAGTGTGTAGTGAGTACGAGATAAGATGTGAGGTGCAATTATTAATGTTTATTAAAAAAACGTTCTCACTGTCTGTGTCTCCTCTCTGTGCCCCTTGTTTAGAATGAACCGCACCGCTTACACCGTGGGAGCTTTGCTTCTCCTCTTGGGGACCCTACTGCCGGCTGCTGAAGGGAAAAAGAAAGGGTCCCAAGGAGCCATCCCGCCTCCAGACAAGGCTCAGCATAATGACTCTGAGCAGACCCAGTCTCCACCACAGCCTGGCTCCAGGACCCGGGGGCGGGGTCAGGGGCGGGGCACTGCCGTGCCAGGCGAGGAGGTGTTGGAGTCCAGCCAAGAGGCTCTGCACGTGACGGAGCGCAAGTACCTGAAGCGAGATTGGTGCAAAACTCAGCCCCTGAAGCAGACCATCCACGAGGAAGGCTGCAACAGCCGTACTATCATCAACCGCTTCTGCTACGGCCAGTGCAACTCCTTCTACATCCCCAGGCACATCAGGAAGGAGGAAGGCTCCTTCCAGTCTTGCTCCTTCTGCAAGCCCAAGAAGTTCACCACCATGATGGTCACGCTCAACTGTCCTGAGCTACAGCCACCCACCAAGAAGAAAAGGGTCACACGTGTGAAGCAGTGCCGTTGCATATCCATCGACTTGGATTAAGTCGGGGGGGGGGGGGGCACATCCAGCCTGTCATAGCCATGCCGAGAGCCACACCTAAACCACCCGATTCCTACTTGGCTTAAACCTAGAGGCCAGGAGAACCAGCAGTTGCTTCCTGCCAGGAGGCTGCTTACGCATAGTGTATGCGCATGAGTGTGCGTGGGTGCCTGTGGATGTTTCCGAACACCAGCGGAAACAGCCTCTGCTAAAAGGCGCTTCCTGTTACTCTGCTTCAGATGGTCGGAAATGCCCACAGCACTGGACCCAAACAGCTACAGGGGCAGGGCTGAGGTTGGCTTTGCCATTGTGTTCCATGTGTCCTCCCGGGCACCAGGATTTCACCTGAGAGTGAATCCTAACGGAAGAGGTAATTCAGAGGGCTGCATTAGACTTGGGACTGTTCTGTGCTTGTCCTTTCCTCCTCCCACAACCCATTCCTTTCTTTGCTCTCCCTGATAGCTCAGTCTTAGCCCATGTTCCTAAATTAATTCACTTGACCGTGTGGTGTGTTTTCCATCTTGTGAAAAACCTCCAGAATGTGAGGAGACATGTGATGGAGGACAAACAGGACAGGATTGACTCAAGGAGCACTGAGGCTGAGGACCACTCTGGGCCAGTGAAATTCAGCAGCAAGATGTCCAGAGTTTGAAAGTTATTTTCCAAAACCAGTGCGAGCCTTGCTTCAGTGAAAAGGTTTTCCTGATATTTAAAATGACCTAGATGCACAGAGGAGAAATATAATCAGCCAAAATATCCAATTCTCTGTGCCTCTGTGACCTAATAACACTAACTGTAACCCAAAGTTAAGAATGAAATATTGATCACTCCTGTTTTAAGAACGAAGTAAATGAAAAACAACAACAAAATATGGCCTCCTACTTTGCTTCTCAGCAGGACAACTGAGAGCCTTGTTCACTGGGATTAAAAACAAAAACAAAAAACAAAACACACACAGACACACAGACACACACACACAAATCCCTAAGCTTAGTTTTGCTGCATAAATGTTGCTTTTCCATCATTCCTGTAAAATGCTTTGGAGATGCAGAACCTTGTGATAAAAATCCTGCCTTTGCTGACACCTGCCAATAAGGAACCGTCTAAGATTAGAGAGTTACCCACACCATTCGAATTAGATATGCATGGGGGCTTTTCTGTTTGGCACTTGTTAGGAATGAGAGGGGGAGAGAGAAAGGGAGGGAGGGAGGATAGGAGAGAGAGAGAGAGAGAGAGAGAGAGAGAGAGAGAGAGAGAAAGGGATTGCATCTATCTAGACAGTGCCTAGAGGAGAGGTAAGGGCTGTGATTTCCTCTTCCTTTGTTTGCTCTCACAGGGTCTATAAGAAAGTTCCATCAGGAAACCAGAACCCTCGGGTATATTAGCGGGCCACCTGCTCCCAGTGGATCTGTGTGCCATTGTAATCAACAGGCCTGCCATGGATGTTGTCATCCCTATACACCTGGGCTCCCCAAATGCCTCCTCAGCATTTACGTAGGGGCTGAAGGAAAAGGTGGGTAGGCCTTGATACAATTTGGATTGGCTAAGCAGTTCTTAAGACTGAGATTCTAGCTATAAATGCCCCCAGATACCAGTTTTGTGTTTTCCTCTCAGAGTCGGTAGTCAAGTTCTGTGCCATTTGGAAGGCAGGCATCCCCCGCCCATCAAAGCAGCCACAGTCAAAAAAAACCAAACCAAACCAACCAACCAAACAAACAAACAAAAACCATTGGAAGTAAAGAAATTATTTTATTTTGGTCTAGCCCAGTCTCACATGACATCTAAATAGGAACCATGCTGTAAGGCAAAAGCTATCCCGAATTCCCAAAACAGCAGGTCTAATTTTGAAAGTTTGAAAGCCACTACTGATGATTCCACACTAGATGAATTTGTGCAAGCACGGTCTGTGTGTTTCGTTTTTAACGTGTGCCCCTTGCCTGAATCTGTTTGTCTTCCACATCCATCACCAATAAGGCACAGGATGGATTTGATTAGGCCCACAGATGCAAAGGCAGAGTTTTGAGGGTAGTGAAGGGTGAAAAATAAAAGAGGAAGAAGCTGAAAATATAAAACCACATCAGAGAGGAAAAATGACACTCGGTGCTAAGAAATGCCGAGTGTCTTGTTTTAATTCTGCCACAGACATGTAGTACTGTTAACGGGTGACAAGTTGGCAGCCTCATCCACCCTCCAGGAGCTTGTACCACCGTCGCTATGTAAGTTGGATTTAGGTCACATCAAGAAGATTGCCTCAAAATTAACTTCTTGAGAACGATCAGCAGCATAAAGTACCCTAAAAAGCACATCACTGGCCAAAGATGTGGGGTGTCTGCCTCCCTTGCTGTGGCTAGACCAAGACCATCAGAAATACATGTCTTCCATCATTTATTGAAGATGCCCTGTCGGTTGTCTATTTTGGACTCGCCAGTGATGTAATCATGCTCATTTTCTCCAACACTGCAGTAGAAGTGTTCTGTGGTAAGAGAGTTGTGATCTTGATCTTACCGATTAAAATAATGCCAGACACCAAATACGAATTTTATGGTGTTCGCTTAGTGCTTGGCACTGAAAAGGGAATGCCACACACCTCGTTAAGTCTGCGTGCTTCTTTGCAACTGTAATCTTCAAAGTTGTAAGTGAAAAATCTGAAGGAAAAGATAATTTCCACCGTGTGGAATGTGAATAAGCAAAAAAAAAAAAAAGTTATGGGTATTTAATGTAATTATGAATTCAAGTCTGTCGGTTACTGTGATTTCAATCATGTTTTCTTTCTCTATTCTATACGACGGCCTCTGTGTTGGGTAAAGAAGAACGTGTCTATTTTATGTTGTTAGAGGCTTTTGTCAGGTCAGAGGGAAACACAGTCTCATTTGTTACTGAGTCAAGCATGAGCTTTTATTTTTTAAAACTGAATGTTCCTTGAAAGTCGACACTTCTGAAGCAATATTAGGGAAGACTTTAAGTGTTATTTTGGGAGATGTATAATATGTGTATACAAGCAAATAGCAGATGATGATGGCTAGTTCACAAAGATATACGAACAGAACATTCCTAAACAAGAAGCCTGAAAGAGTGAAAGAAATTCTATTGATTTGTCATTTCTCAAGATATTTAATATCATCTACATTGTGTATTTAATCTGCTTTAATAATTTTAAAACAATGAACGATTATATAGGCTATGATGGAACTACCTTGCTATGGATGAGGGTGAGACAGGATTTACTGGTCTCATAAAAGCTAATTTGGCTTAAAGTTTTATGATCTGTAACTAGAATTTTATTTTCACCCTAATAACATTCTATATAACCTTTGCCAAAAAAAAAAAAGATCAGTAAATTAAACCTCTTCTTTTTGTGTGTGTGTTTGAATTTTAACTGGTGGTGGCCTCTCAGCAGGGGGTGGGGTGGGACCCAGGAGTTTACTTGACCCAGAAAAGGGGCGAAGAAACAAAGCACCAAGATCTCATTCTCTCTTTTTGAGAGGAATCCACTCTTTACATCCAGACCTTTCTCATCCTCTTTGATTTCACCCCAGACACCCCAGACCCAGGCAGATAAGCACAACAGACACTGATCTGTAATGGGGTCACCAGCAGTCTCCCCAAGAACAGCCAGAAGGAAGAGCTCCTGCAGTATGACAGAGACGCGGTTATGCAGAACAGACAAGAAGGTAGCCTTTTCACAAAGGGTTAAGAAAGATTTAAGTTTAATAGAAGAATGAGTTGGAGTGAGGAGAGTGATCAGCAATACTATAAGCTGTCTTGAAGGAGACAATTTGGTGTGGGGGGGGGTAAGAGTGGGATGGGATAGTGTGAAATATGCTAGACATCATTCCATAGTAATATTTGGAGAGTTCGTTCTCTGAGGCCATGTAAGTTCCTAAGAGTTCATCCAACCTGGACATACACTGCTCTATGGCATTGGAAAGCTGACAACAGTGGCCAAATGCCAGTAGCCATATGTGCTACGTTACACACTTCGCTAAGTTTAATTTGTGTTATTGTTCCACGGGCCTCCAGGCAGCGCAGTGGAGAAGGCGCTGTTACCCTCTCTAAGAGGAAGTCCTGAACTCATTACCGTAACAACTCGGTCCTTAAAAATTGTAAGAATTTTCCGTAGAAAACCTCTCCAACTACTGATTACTGATTGAGGCCATGCCAAGGTTGCATGTATAGAAGCTCACGTTCAGAAACACAGTTGAAGCTTATTTGCCCCTCCTTTCCCCTTTTATAGATGTGAGGGTGGGTTGGAACAGACAGGGTCCTCAGGAAAGCCGCACTCAGAAGGCAGAATACGAATACAGCTTGAAAGCTGTGAGTGGAGCTCAACACAGAAGACCTCCACAGGTTCTAAACAAGCTCGTCCTCACGAAAAAGCAAGGCATAAGGGAGACTCGGTAAAGGAACTAATTTCTGAGTTCAAGCTATCTTACTGCCTCTGTCCCTTTTGCTACTGGGTTTATAAATCCTTGTCAGATTATTCAGCAGATAAACGCATTCTAAAGAAGTAGAGAAAAAAATGACACAGATTGGGAACCTGAAAATGTCAAGAGACAGACAGATAGACAGACAGACAGATAGATAGAGAGATAGATAGAGAGATAGATTATGAAAAAAATAGCCAAATGGAAATTGTAAGATTGGAAAACTAGTAGTAGCTGAAATAAAAACTCATTAGAAGGCCTCAAAAGCAGATTTGACCAGTTAGAAAATAAAACATGAGAGAGAAAGGAGACATAGGCAAGGAATGGAATGGAGAGAAGGAAGAAAGTAAACTCAAATATGACAACTCTTAATTCTAGCACTGAGGAGGCAGAAACAGGTGGATCTTTGTGAGTTCAAGGCCCGCAAAGGCTATACAGTGAGTTGCACCAAGCAGACCTACACAGTAAGACCCTGTTTCAAATAAACGTACAAACAAAAACGCAACCAAACAAGCAAAAAAAAACCCAAATATGAAACAGCAAAAATCATTCTTGACCTTATAAGACCTTGTGTTTTTAAAGTATATTATAAAAAATGCTATGAACAACTGTATAAAAACATAGTATATAAAAAATATAGCAAACAGGAAAGTCCAGTTATACTCATTTGTCTTGAATAAATTTTACTGAAAGTAGACTAACAACTTAAGGAAGTCCAATTGCAATACATAGTAAACCACTAGAAACCTTCATGAGCCAAGTTTTGATTATAGCCAACCTAACTGTGGATTAAATGCTCTGGTGACATACTCTTGAGTCTCACTCTTTCCTCTTTTCCCTCTAGTTCATGTTTGGGCAAGCTGACTAGAAAGCCGGGCTCCCTAATGTAGCAGTAATGGAATGATCACAGCATGAAAGCCCCTGCCTCGTGGGGACCCTTCAGTCTCTAAATACCATAAAAACCCAAGCAAGTCTTTCCCTCTCTCCTAAGCTATGTTCAGAGCAGAACAGGAGTTAACAAACTCTTGTCCTCTTTAGAACCCTCATCATCTAAACAACTGAGACACATTTTAGCCAGGAGTCCATATTGTTTACAGAAGTATCCACACACCTTTACATACTCAAATCACAAAAACTGCTGTAAGTAGAACTAGAACTGAAAGTCTGTATATAGCTATCATAAGCAAAAAAAAAAAAAAAAAAAAGACTAAATAAACAATTGAATTTTTTCTGCGAAGTAAAGCCCACGTAGAATGGCGTCACTAAATACTTCATGGAGCACTCATATACGTTCTTTACCAACATGTCCTTAAAAATGGAGGTGATGAGGTCAAGAAGCAGCTCAGTGGATAAAAGTCCTTGCTGGTGAGCTGGACCACTGAAATGAGATCCCCAGGACTCAGAGGTAGAAGGAGAGAACCAGCTCTTGCAAGTTGTCTTCTGACCTCCACATGCATGGCTTGGTTACATGCACAGGCATATGAGTGCCCACATAGACACACATACCGATACACACACATACACATAGACACACACACACAAATATGATTTTAAAATAAAAAAATAGAAGTCAACACTTCTACCTCATCCTATAAGATCAGTATTACTTTTTTTATTTTTTTTAATTTTTTATTAATTACACTTTATTCATTTTGTATCCCCCCATAAGCCCTTCCCTCCTCCCCTCCCGATCCCACCCTCCCCCCCCCTTTCTGCATGCATGCCACTCCCCAAGTCCACTGATAGGGGAGGTTCTCCTCTTTTTTCTGATCTTAGTCTATCAGTTCTCATCAAAAGTGGCTGCATTGTCCTCTACTGTGGCCTGATAAGGCTGCTCCCCCCTCAGGGGGAAGTGATCAACGAGCAGGCCAATCAGATTATGTCAGAGGCAGTCCCTCTTCCCATTACTATGCAACCCACTTGGACACTGAACTGCCATGGGCTACATCTGTGCAGGGGTTCTAGGTTATCTCCACGAATAGTCCTTGGTTGGAGTATGAGTCTCTGGGAAGTTCCCTGTGTTCAAATTATCTTGTTCTGTTGCTCTGCTTGTGGAGTTCCCGTCCCCTCCAGCTCTTACTATTTCCCACTTCTTACATAGAATTCCATTCACTCTGCCCTTCAGTTGGCCATCAGGCTCAGCATCTGCTTTGACAATCTATACTGCAGAAGCTTTCAGAGGCCCCCTGTGGCAGGTTTCAAGGTTGTTTCCTGTTTTCTTCTGGCTTTCAGAGGCCCTCTGTAGCAGGTTCCGAGGTTGTTTCCTATTTTCTTTTTCTTCTGATGTCCATCCTCTTTGCCTTTCAGGATGGGGATTGAACATTTTAGTTAGGGTCCTCTCTTTTGCTTAGTTTGTTTAGACGTACAGATTTTAGTGGGTTTATTCTATATTGTATGTTTATATGAGTGAGTATATACCATTCGTGTCTTTTTGCTTCTGGGACAACTCACTCAGGATGAAGATCAGTATTACTTTAATACCAAATCTAGGTAAATAAACCATTAAAAATATAAATATTGATAATTGTCCCTTATGAATATTTATGTAAAAATACTAAGTAACAGAATACACACACACACATATATCATAAACACCATTACCACGTAGCTATTACCCAGTTCAGGGTTTGTTTAAAAGACTTGATGTTATTCATCGTGCTAATAGAATGTGAGACAGAAAATGCATGGTCATGCAACAAAGCAGATAAGTCATTTAACACCATTCATGAAAAAAAAAAAATACAGTAGAAAGGAAAGGAACTTTCCCAATCTAAAACATGACATCTGTAAAAAAATCTACACTGATACTTAGTACTGAACTACTAAAAGGTTTCTTCTTTAAGAGTGGTGGCTGTACAATCAGAATGTAAATTGAATAAATAAATTAATTTTAAAAAGAGTGGTAACTCAGTAGAAGAACATCGATTGGCAGTGAAACACTTAAAGAAATGTTCAACATCCTTAGTCGTCAGGAAAATGCAAATCAAAATGACCCTGAGATTTCACCTTACATCCATCAGAATGGCTAAGATCAAAAACTCAAGTGACAACACATGCTAGAGAGGATGTGGAGAAAGAGGAACCCTATTCCATTTCTGGTGGGAATGTAAACTTGTACATCCACTTCGGAAATCAATCTGGCACTTTCTCAGACAAAAAGGAATAGTGCTTCCTCAAGATCCAGCTATACCACTCCTAGACATACATCCAAAAGATGCTCGAGTATACAACAAGGACATTTGTTCAACCATGTTTGTAGCAGCTTTGTTTGTAATAACCAGAAGCTGGAAACAACCCAGATGTTCCTCATTTGAAGGAATGAATACAGAAATTGTGGTGTATCTATACAATGAAATACTACTCAGCAATTAAAAACAAAGAAATTATGAAATTTGCAGGCAAATGGTGGGATCTAGAAAAGATCATACTGAGTAAGGTATCCCAGAAGAAGAAAGACACACATGGTATATACTCACTTATAAGTGGATATTAGACATATAATATAGGCTAATCATACTAAAATCTGTACACCTAAGGAAGCTAATCAAGAAGGAGGACCCTGGGTAAGATGCTCAATCTTCATTCAGAAAGGCAAATGAGACAGGCATTGGAAGAGGGAGAAAACAGGGAACAGTACAGGAGCCTATCACAGAGGGCCTCTGAAAGACTCTACCCTGCAGAGTATTAAAACATATGCTGAGATCCATGGCCAAACTTTGGGCAGAATGCAGGGAATCTTATGAAAGAAGAGGGAGATAGAAAGACCTGGAGGGAACAGGAGCTCCACAAGGAGAGCAACAGAACCAAAAAATCAGGGCACAGGGGTCTTTTCTGAGACTGATACTCCAGCCAAGGACCATGCATGGAGATAACTTAGAACCCCTGCAC